TAGCGTTCCGAGTGCCGTCTCCTGTGCTAAAGTTAGTTTTTAATGTTTGGCAGGCCCCAAGAATATTGAGGCTTCGCCAGCATCACTCGCTTGATTGCATGCATGCACAGCTCGGTCTTCCAGCAGGTGATTGCTTCAATGACTTGTGCATAAAAATACACGCAGTTCGTGAATTTGACTGGTTTGTTTCACGTCAGCCATCACTCGTAAGTTTCATGCCGTACATTGATGATTCAAGCATTCAGATCTCGGCTGCAGACAGGCAGCGAGCCCTGGATCTAGCGGTGGCGGCGGGAAAAGATTTCCAGATTGCCAGTCGTAATATTGGTGCCACTCTGAATGATAAGATTGCTGTTGTTGCGTCATCGGAGGACTTGGCTAAAGATGTAGCGGCAAGTCTCCAGATGCAATGCAAGGTAGTCAAGAAGGCAGTCACATATCTTGGAGTCGATTCGACTGCAGGCTTGCGACGTGCTGCGAATGGCACAAGACCCAAACTCAGGAGTAGGTTGAAGGCTATGCAAAAGCGTGCCAAAAAGATCAGTAAGTTTCGCAAGTTTATAAAGCGCAAACCAAAACAAGTCCTCCAAGGGGTCCTGCGTACTGGCCTGGCTCCTGCGTCGTCGTACGGCTCTGAGGTCTCGGGGTTCTCGGATGCTGAATTGGCGTCAATACGCAGAACCCAGTCGAGGCGACAGGCGCCCATGCACGGTGGCACTTCAGCTAGTGCTAAACTGGTCCTCTTTGGAGAGTGGGACGTCCGTGCTGCTTTGGGCCCCGTCTTGCAATGGAGTAGGATGGTTTGGATCTCCAAGGTAGCGCCCGAGAGAGCCCTTTTAAGTTTTCCTGCCCTCGTTTCCTTGTGGCAACAGGCTAATGCGAGCAGCGTCGTTGACTGGAAGAATAGTCGAGGCCCGCTCAGTAGAGTTGCCTTGTGCCTCAAGAGGGCAGGTTGGTCGGCTCCCGAGGCTTGTGCTTGGATTGATCACCAGAATCCCATCGATATCAGTTTAGTGTCACCTCGAATGCTGCAGGAGTTGCTTGAATCAGGCCTCCAGAGGCAGGCTGAGCTGGCCTTGGGCCAAGAACTGGGTTTTCCTCCTGGTTTTCGGGCCACTCTGGACCTGGTCAGGGACAAGATGGTTCCTCGTGTAAAAAGTTTCACTCGGCAGCAGCAGTTTCTGTTAAAGTGTGCAGCGTGTGATGCCAATTGGACTGAGAAGAGGGCCCAAGATGCGGGGTATCTTAGTTGTGGTCGTTGTGAGTGTGGGCAGGTAGATACCCCGCATCATCGTATCTACACGTATACCAGGCCAGATGTGCTGGCTGCCCGTGAGATTGCCTGTGAAGATATCCCCAATGAGTCGTTGCAGGTTGCCCTTCAGACGGATGATTTTCTGCACACTCGAGGCATCTTTGTATATGATGACTCCCAGCTCGTTCCTCCCTCCCTCAGCTCGTCCTGTGAGGTTTTTGATGGGCAGGGTAACGAGCTCGACCGTCAGCCCGAGGAATTGGCTGCCCTCGTTCCGCCAGGACAGCCGCTTGAGCTCGCGGCCGACGGCTCGGCCACCAAGCAGATGCTTAGGCCGCTCCGACGCGCGGCCTGGTCGATTGCTCTGCTCTCGCCGAGTACGGCAGACATGGAGGCTGTGCTACGAGGCGTTGTTCCAGGCACCCTCCCCCAGAGCCCAGCTGCTGCGGAGCGCGTTGCTGCTGCGTTGTGTGGCCAGGTCGCTGATCGCCCGACTCGGCTCGGTCTCGATTGTCTTGGGGTGATCCAGCACATTCAGAGACCTGTGGCCAAGCAGTTAGAGGCTCAGAATAAGTTTTCTGGCATCCGAAAATTCGCTTTTGAACTTGATGGTTCCAAGTTTTTGGAGGCTTTTCATTTGAAGGCCCACCGCTCTGATGAAGAGTTGAACCAGCTTGTAGGTGATGAATTTCGGTTCGGCCAGGCCAATAAGATTGTGGACAACCATGCGAAGTTGGCCCTGGCCTCCCATCCTGCCCTTACCCCAGCCTTCTTGCATTCTGTTGAGGAGGCTGAGAGGAGAGCAGGGATTTTTGTGAAGCTCGCCAGTGCGTGCCTCCCGCTCTTTCGGAATGAGATGAGGTGGAGACGTGCCCCGCCTAGTCAGCAGCGGTCTCGAGCCAAGCGTAGTTGGCACGAATGGCGTCGGACTGAGCTTGGAGTTCAGTGTGTTCACTGTCTGATTGTCAGCTCGTCTGGGGATCGCCCTGCTGACGGATGTCAGGGCACGCCCACGGCGATAGCTGAGTTGCTCGAGAATCCCATGGGCCATTCCCTCGTCGCTGTGTCGGGAACGGCTCTCAAAACTGCTTCTGGTGATTCCTCGGGTCCTGTTTCGGGTTCTGGACGCACCGAGATAAAGGAGCAACAATTTTTGTGTCTCAACTGTGGTGGCTGGACTCAGGGAAGGATGATCAAACTTGCTAAGACTTGTGAAGCACCTACGTCTAAGGGCCTCGAGATTTTGAGCGCGTTTCGTCGGGGGCTAGGGCCTAACCCAAGGTTGAGGGAACGTTTGGATAAGGCCATCCCCATTTATCGACTTGATGCGACTCTCGCAAGCCCGAAAGAGGTGCAGTCTGTGTCGTCCGTCCCCGGAGGTTTCTCCTCTAGTGAAGAGGCCCCACAGTATGAGCAGAGAATGGCTGCCTTACTCGCCCGAGTTAAGGCCAAAGAAGCCAGTTCTAAATCGATGGCATAATTTTTTGTAACCTTGCCAGTCTTTGGTGTGTTCACCTTCCGACCTTTTCCAAGGCGCTGTATTACCTTATCTTATCCTCCTCGTCCTCCTCCTGCTCATATTCCTCCTCTTCTCCGAGTGGCCTCAGACACACAACCCAGGCACGGTGGCGGCGTGGGCCGAACGCCACTAGTAGGCGTCAGCTCCGGCGGCCCAACGGGCCAGAGTGGAAAACAGTATTTCTAGTTCGCGCGCGCAGGGCGGCCCCTGGAGGTCCGCGGCCGACAAATACCCCGAGCTGGTCCCAGGCAGGTCCCCAGCAAGTTCCCATCAGAGATGGTTCTGCTCCTGGGCGCCGCCCTCAGAGCCTCCCAAGAGCCCCAAGAGCTGCCCTGGGGCCCCCAAGAGGCCTCCCAGGGCACGAGAACACCACCACGCAGCCACAGTGATGCGAAATGGGCCGGCGGAATGAGCGAAGCGATTAAATAAGGGGTGCCGCGCCTGCAACGGCTGTGTGAACGACTCGCGGCCGTCTAAGCAGGTCAGAGATGAGCTGACATACAGATGCCGACGCCTGTTCATAGACAGGGATGGACGTAGGGCATACGAGAGCCCAATCATCGTCGGTGGACTACGCGCGAGACACCAGGCAAGAATGACCTTTGGTGCGCAGCTCTATGGGGGGCTCGTGGGGGCCAGACGCAACCGCGCAAGCCGCTGCCGTCGCCATCATTCTTCGGTGGGACACGCCTGGGAAGCTCCCTAGCGCCGGCTGGCCACTGCAGAACTTCGTTGCTTCGATCTGGGCGCCCCGAAGGACACCCCCAAGGCGCCGCGACAGCAGACGTTGTCCAGCGCCACCGCGATGATGTCCGGCACTGCCGGGCCGCATCACGAGAATGTCCGAGCAGGTCAGGCGTCCGTTTCTGGGGCCACTACGGGGTCCGCGCGGGCGCTCCTCTGCGACCCCTGGGGAAGAACTCAATGAAGGGCATGGATGTGACGGTTCTTACGCTTCGCACGCTTCAAATTCACGACCACGCGGTCGACTTGGCAGAAGCAGTACCGCGCGGTCACCTGGTCGACTGGACCAGCCCTCGGGACACCGACGCGAGCTATGGGTATACGTTGCGGTCCGCTGCAAAGGAGGCCCGAAACCCACGTGCGCTCGGGTGGGCGCGCAGCCCTACGCTGCACCGACGCGAGACCGAGCGCAACACATCTCCAACGCCCTTTGGGCCAGCACCGAAGGTCACTCCAGCGAGGGGCCGCTCTTACATGCACTGGAGGGCTAGGCTGAGGGAGGACCAGGTGCACTCTTGCGTCAACGCCAGAACTCCACATAGCTAGGAGCGTGCTGTTGCTGGCGCCACGGAAGGACCCAATCTGGAAGTATCGGTTTCCGTGAGCGTTGAGCGCACATTTCCCCGACCCCCGACGTAGTTATGAAGATCCTTTTCCCCAAGCCCGTTTCTCCCAACCAAACCAGATTATCTATTTTGACGGTCCTGTGGTCCCGTGAGAACTCCTGGAGGCCAGAAGTGAAACCATCCGGCCGGACCTAGGACAGAAGAACATTACTCGAAAACATGAAACCCTCCGCTGGCTAAACTGAAGATTATTCGAGGGTACCTCCCCCAGGATGCACAAGAACAGTCAACAAACACGAAAAGCATGAGGGTACCTCCCCGAACCGACCTCGATCTTATACATCGGTTCGGCCGTAACCAACCACGTTGTTCCATGACGCGAGGGGGTCTCGGCCATGGATCCACAACCGACCATCCTGGGGCGCGTCCTGGCCATAAATTCGAGGGGGATCCAACCGTGGCGACGAGAAGCCTCCCCTAAAAGGGCAGACAAACCTTACAATACCCCTCGACTCTCGAGCCTCGAACCTGGCCGCCCGCCCCCCACAAAGTTTCCCAGTCCAGACATCCGACGTCGTGCTTTTTCTCCCAATGTGCCCCCCCCCCCCCCCCCGAGAGGTCTGGACCCCTCCCCCGGCACCGGCTCTTCTTCGTGAGTCATTTTCGGATGGTCCCATGGGCCGCTGGCGGGAAATCGTGCACGGGCAAAAGCCCTGCGTCGCCACGTTTTTCACAGCGAGCGCTACTGGCATGAAGCATATCCATACCTCTATGATGAACCCCGCCTCATCTCCATGCGGGTCTCCAGGGGTTCCGCCAACTGCTGAGGGCGCACCCCCAGGCACTGCCATCGCTTTCTGGCCTGTAGGGATGAGCTCGAGCTTGCTTAGAGCGGCTGCCGGGGAGAGCCGTGGGCCTCGTGGCGCTTCCACGACCGCGGGATCGGCGGGCTGGAGGGGCCAGTGGCGGCCTTGAGAGGAGCAAGAAACGGCATGCACAGAAGTGACGGTCCGCGCGGATGTCTTCGATCTGAGCTGCGCCCCCCCCCTGGTGCGCGGAGCGCGCCAGCGGCGGCGCCGGCGGTGCCGCCAGGGGGCCCAGCGCAGTTCCAAGTAATTCGCTCGGAACGCGGAAAGTTGATGTTTACAGTGGGGGCACGACCAAAAGAAACCTCTCACAAGAGACCCAACCCTGAGACCCCAGGACGTCCTTTGTGTTTTTTGGCGTGGGAGCGTCACGCTTTTTCCATCGCAAAACCATCGAAACCCAAGAAACGCAAGGCACCCTGGAAGAAAGCAGGGTGTTTCTTGGTATGGGCCCCCACTGTATGCCGTTGTTGGTTCTGCGAGCCTCTCGGCGTGCCGGGGCCGCCGCGGCATCCTCGCGGCCACCGCGGGGGAAGGGGGGAGGAGGGCGGCGGTCGACCGGAGCTCCAGGGGCGGCGGCCAGCGTCCTGCCGCTGGTGGCGAAAGCAACGCCCCGTGCCCAGGGGTCTGGTTGGGGGAGACGAACGGCCAGGATAGCAAAGAGTAGGGCCGAGACTCAACTCACGTGGCTGGCTTTTGCCCGGGTCTGGCCGGGGGAGGACAAACGGCCAGGATAGCAACGAGTAGGGCCGAGACTCAGCTCAGGTAGCTGGCTTAAGCCAAGGTCTGGTCGGGGGAGGACGAACGGCCAGGATAGCAAAGAGTAGGGCCGAGACTCAGCTCAGGTAGCTGGCTTAAGCCCAGGTCTGGTCGGGGGGACGAACGGCAAGGATAGCAACGAGTAGGGCCGAGACTCAGCTCAGGTAGCTGGCTTTTGCCAAGGTCTGGTCGGGGGGACGAACGGCCAGGATAGCAAAGAGTAGGGCCGAGACTCAGCTCAGGTAGCTGGCCTTTGCCCGGGTCTGGTCGGGGGGACGAAAAGCCAGGACAGCAAAGGGTAGGGCCGAGACTCAGCTCAGGTAACTGGCTTTTGCCCAGGTCTGGTCGGGGGTCGGGGGGGCGAAAGGCCAGGATAGCAAAGGGTAGGGTCGAGAATCAGCTCACGTGGCTGGCTTTTGCCTGGGTCTGGCCGGGGGGGAACGAAAGGCCAGGATAACAAAGGGTAGGGTCGACAATCAGCTCCTGTAGCTGGCTTTTGCATGGGTCTGGTCGGAGGGGGGGCGAAAGGCCAGGATACCAAAGAGTAGGGCCGAGACCCAGCTCACGTAGCTGGCTTTTGCCCGGGTCTGGTAAGGGGGGGGGCGAGAGGCCAGGATTCCAAAGAGTAGGGCCGAGCCTACGACCAGCAGATCTGCGAGAACCTCCAGGAAAACCTCGGGAACAATCAGCCAAACTATTAGGGCAACAAGAGCTTCAAAAGCCAAAGGCAGAACTACGATACCCATCAGCTGAGCTACGAGAACCGCTTGCAAGGCCAAGAGGACAAGCGGTTCAGCCACAAGAGGAAAAGGAGGTGAAGGAGCAGGAGGGCCCGAGCCAGGGATTCCAGGGAGTCTGGACAGCGGATGATGAATGGCTGCCAGCTGAGCTACACGGGCCGCGAACAAAGCTACGAGGACCACCAGGCGATTTACCGGAGCCACCCACCAGCTCAGCTACCAAGGTCACGAGCAGAGCCTCGAGTCACCGTCAAAGCCACGAGGCCCATCTGCAAAGATGCGAGTGTCACAACCGAAGCCTCCAGGACCACAAACAGAAATACTACATCTACCAACAGAGCTAGCAGTGCGCAGGAATACTCCAAATCCTTCGAGTACCGCAAACTGAACTACGAGGACTACAGGCACAGCTAGGAGAGCCACTTCCAGAACTGCGAGGACCGCAAGCTCAGCTACGAGGGCCGCAAGCAGGGCAACGAGGACCGCCAGCAGAGCCACGAGGGCTGCAAGCTCAGCTGCGAGGGCCGCAGGGAGGGCAACGAGGACCACCAGCTGCACCACAACGACAATCAGCTGAGCTACGAGAACTACAATCAAAGCTACGAGGACCACCAGCTCAGCCACTGGAGGCACCAGATCTGCTTCGCGGGCGGCAAGCAGACCTACTACAGCCACCAGCAGCGCTGACCAGGGCCACCAGCGGCCCTTTCAAGACCACACGTTGAGCTGCGAGGACCACGTGTACGGCTACTACAGCCACTAGCTGTTACCAGGGCGACGAGCTATACTGCAAGGGCCACGTGCAGACCCTTGAGAGCCACCAGCCAAGCTACGAGGGCTACTTGCTGAGCTACGAGGGCCACAATGTGAGCTACGCGGGCCACAAGAACCACTAGACCCTCTCAACTTTGCAACGGTCTCCCTGTGCCGCTTTCCTGCTCTCGGGGTCCATGTTGTGAGCTAACAGAACGACAAACCAGACTGCAAGGATGACCAGGACCAGAACATCGGAAACCAACTACTCGAGTTACTCAACTAACATGATCGACCCACGAACCCGGAAAGGAATATAGAGATGTAAGGCAGTGCAACATTTCAAGCCCCTGGGGCCTCCTGGGGCCTCCTGGGGCCTTCCTGGGGCTTCCTGTGGCCTCCTGGGGCTTCCTGGGGTTCGAGCCACAGGGGCCGCCTGTGGCCTCATGGGGCCTCCTGAGGCTTCCTGTGGCCTCCTGGGCCTTCCTGGGGCCTCCTCGGGCCTCCTGGGGATTCCTGGGGCCTCCTGGGGCCTTCTGGGGCCTCCTGAAGCCTTCTGGGACGTCCTGGGACGTCCTGGGGCCTCCTGGGGCCTCCTGGGCCCTCATGCGCACGGTGGGACGTGGCCCCTTTCGCCCCTGAGCGGAACAAGCGTGAAAACACGTGGGTCATTTTCGCCCAAAAGTGGAACAATCGTGAAAACACGTGGGTCCCTTTCGCCACTGAGCGGAAAAAACGTGAAAACACGTGGGTCCCTTTCGCCCAAGTGTGGAACAATCGTGAAAACACGTGGGCCCCTTTCGCCCCTGAGCGGAACAAGCGTGAAAACACGTGGGTCCCTTTCGCCCCTGAGCGGAACAAGCGTGAAAACACGTGGGTCCCTTTCGCCCCAGAGCGGATCAACCGTGAAAACATATGGGTCCCTTTCGCCCCAGAGCGGATCAAGCGTGAAAACACTTGGGTCCCTTTCGCCCCTGAGCGGAACAAGCGTGAAAACACGTGGGTCCCTTTTCGCCCCTGAGCGGAACAAGCGTGAAAACACGTGGGTCCCTTTCGCCCCTGACCGGAATAAGCGTGAAAACACGTGGGTCCCTTTCGCCCCTGAGCGGAACAAGCGTGAAAACACGTGGGTCCCTTTCGTCCCTGAACGGAACAAGCGTGAAAACACGTGGGTCCCTTTCGCCCCTGAGCGGAACAAGTGTGAAAACACGTGGGTCCCTTTCGCCCCTTTCGCCTCCTGGGCCTTCCTAAGGCCTCCTCGGGCCTCCTCGGCATTCCTGGGGCCTCCTGGAGCCTTCTGGGGCCTCCTGAAGCCTTCTGGGACGTCCTGGGACGTCCTGGGGCCTCCTGGGCTCTCCTGGGGCCTCCTGGGGCTTCCTAGGCATTCCCTAAACATCCTGGGGCCTCCTGGGGCTTCCTGGGGCCATGCCCCTGACCAAAACGTGTCCCGCACCCTGTGATTTATCGATCGCGATTTCAAAAAACAAGCGTTTCGCTAGGGACATCCTCAATTTTTAATTCGCCGGCCCTACGCGACCTCGTTATTTATCGCAAAAGAAATTCGCCGGCCCTACAGCCGTCAAAACCGGGGGGAAACCAACTAAAAGAGAACCCTGGGCTCAGGCCCTTTCCGGGAAAAAGGGCCACTTGCTCAGCTACGAGGGCCACAGCCTGAAGTACGCGGACCGCTAGCAGAGTTACGAGAGCCTTCTGTAGAGCTGCCAGGGCAACGAGCTGAATTGAACTGGCTACCGCCACGGCCACAAGCTGCGCTACGAGGGCCACAAGCAGAGCTACAAGATCCACCAGAAGTGCTTCCAGGGCCACCTGCGGTTCTATGAGAGCCGGCAGTAGAGCTACCCGGGCCATCAGAACAGATGCGAGTCCCACGCGCTGAGCTACGGGAGCCACATGCATGGCTAAGGGGACCACCAGCGGAGCTCTCAGGGCAAGCCGCTGTACTACGAGGACCACGAGACGAAAACCATAGGCCACAGAAAACCTGGACTGCGAAAAAGCCAATCGCTATCGGAGACACGGAGGAGGGTAAGTACGGTAGAGAGTACTACGAGTGCACGGTGTTGGAATTGAGCGTCCAGACATTGAAGGTCCGCTGGACCGACGGCTCGGTGGACAACGTCCCTCGCTACTTCACCCGCAGGAAACCACAACCAGAGCTAAGAGAGCCACAAGCTGCGCCACGAGAACCACAAGCAGGGCTACCATGACCATTGGCTGACCTACTAATGGCGCCATGAGGAATAAGGCGAGACCAGCCTGCCTGACGCCAAAGAAGATCACTTACTACTACAAAGGGAGGGAAGAGGGAGGGGGGAAGACATGTTAGGTGCGCACGCGTCTTATCTGACGTCATACCCCTCCCTTCCATCCCTCAACATTGCGTAGATATCCTCTCTATTCGCGCAGTCGGATGTCGTAGCAAGGCATAGCATTACATGGCATAACATGGCGTTGGCGATCAACGCGTAGCATGACGTAGAATGGCGTGGCACTGCGTAGTTAAGCACTGCATATCAGAGCATTGCAGCTGAAGAGATGGCATCGCACAGCGGAACACACCATAGCATTGCACTGCTTGCCATGGCATGGCACTGGAAATGAGGCCAACGCTGCAGCGGGACCACGATTTGGAACGAACGGACGCGCGGAAATGAGGTCAACGCTGCAGCGGAAGCACGATCCGGAACGAGCGGAAGCGCAGAAATGAGGTCAGCGCTGCAGCGGGAGCACGGTTCGGAACGAGCGGAAGCCCGATGATGAGTCCAGCGCTGCAGCGGGAGCAACATGTGAAGGACCGAACAAAAATCGGATATTCAAAAACACATCTGAAAACCAAACTCCTGGCAATCCTATGTAGAAAAAACATTGCGCAGAGCGGTGCAGGCCATCTTCCGCGCAGACTCAGGGGAGAGAGGAGAGTAGTATTCATATGGTGTAACTGTGGAGGAAGAGGGATCCTCGATCCTCGAACATCGATCCCCGATGGGGGCACACGGGCTTCCCGCCTCCGCCTCCGCGGCCCAGGGCAGCGGAGGGACACACTGGGGCCGCGCCCCCCGCGAGCCGCCCGACCTGGCGGGGCGGACGGGGGGGGCGTCGGCATGTTCGGCGCGACTGGGGGCACTGGCGAGGTGCCCTCCCCTCCCCCCGCCCCTCTCTTGCCTTGGGTCGGGCGTGCCCCCCCTCCAGGGGGATCTTGGGCGAAGGACAAAACATAGCCGAACAATGCGCAAAGACAGATGACAGAGTAGTCAGAACGTCGTCCCCAGACTTGTTTAAAACATCATTTTCAAATGGCCCTCCTGCTGAGTTGTGGATGCCATGATAATGGACACTCTAACAGTCCTGTCATTGATGTTGTTTAAACGTGTTTAAAGCATGTCTGAAACATCTTTTAGACATCTGGAAAACATTTGGCAGCATGCTTCCTCCCCAGTAATCGACTTCCACAGCTGTAGAGGGACGTGCCCGGCCGAACTCTTGCAGCGGCATCGGCCGCCCCCGATCCGCGCCGCAGGGCGCGCCTTGCGGCGCGGGGGGCGCGGGGCCCCTTCCGCACGGGTCCGCCCGGGGGCCCTGCTTTTCCGAGCTTGGGGGGGGGGGGCAGAGGGGCCAGCCACCTGCCCCTCCTCTGCCCTGAGGCCCAGAGGATGGGACGCACAGAGACATGCTAACACTGTACGTCCTCCCTGGAGGCGCGCGTCCGACCCGAGCATGCAGTATGACCAGCTTGTAGTAGATCGTTTCCCGAGCGGTGCGGCCAGAAAGCGCCCGCCGCGACACATCTACTGTAAGATTTCTCGGTGCGCGCGTCGCCCCTGGGGGGGGGCGACGCACGTGTTGTATCAGCATGTGGGGTGACGCCGATGAGAGGGCGGGGAGGGATAACCTCCCCCCCCTCCTCCTCCCTGGGGCGGCCTGTGTGTCGAAAGTCGGCTGCGAGACCTTCGGGACGCCTGCCTCTCCTGGTGGCTCGCTCGACCGCGATGCTCCCCAGCGATGCTCCCGACGCTCCCCGGGGCTCCCGCCGGATGCACTCCCGCCGCGCCTCGCCTCGCTGCGCCACGCCTCGCCGCCCCTCCTCCTCCTCCTCCTCCTCCTCCTCCTCTCCTCCTCCTCCTCCTCCCCCCCCCCCCCCCCTCCCCTCCCCCTCCCCCCCTCCCCCTCCTCCTGCTCCTGCTCCTCCTCCTCCTCCTCCTCCTCCTCCTCCTCTCCTCCTCCCTCCTCCTCTCCCCCTCCTCGTCCTCCTCCTACTTCTTCTCCTCCTCCTCCTCCCCCCCCCCCTCCCCCTCCTCCTCCTCCTCCTCCTCCTCCTTCTTCTCCTCCTCCTCCCCTGCCGGGACCGTCAGAGAACAGCTCGGGGTGAAAAACCGGTCCCCAGGGGATGGATCCAGACCTCTGAGGGGCCGCGCTGCGAAAAAATCACGACTCAAGATGACCGTGTCGAGGGAGGAGGTGGTATGGGTGGTCAGTGGTCCGGCGCGGTCGGAGAATAACAAGAACTCCATCCTTTGGATATGGGGAATAACAAGGACCCCATCATTTGGATGTGGGGAACAAGAACCCTATCCTTTGGATATGGGGAACAAGAACCCAATCCTTCGGATATGGGGAAATAGCGAAAAGCCTCCCTTCGTGAGTTTTTCGCACCTCGAGGGGGTCTGGAGGAGGAGGAGGAAAAGGAGATAAAGTATGGAGGAGGGGGGGGGGACGGGGGAGGGAGGAAGAGGAGGAGGGGGAGGAATTAGGAGGAGGAGGAGGAGGGGGGGGAGGAGGGGCAGGAGGAGGAGGAGGAGGAGGAGGAGGAGGAGAGGGGGAGCCCCAGGGAGGAGGAGGAGGAGGAGGAGGAGGAGGAGGGGGAGGAGGAGGAGGAGGAGGAGGAGGAGGAGGAGGAGGGAGGAGGAGGAGGAGGAGGAGGGGGAGGAGGAGGAGGAGGAGGAGGAGGAGAGGAGGAGGAGGAGAGGGCAGAGGAGGAGGAGGAGGGGGAACATCCCTCCCTCCCTCCCGCCCAGACCCCCTCGCGCTGCGAAAAAAAACGACGGGAGGTTCCTCGCCATCTGCGGCCTCCCGGGTGCCCTCGACTGGCCCCGGGACCTTCAAAAAACGACTCGGGATGAAGAGCCGGTCCCGGGGGAGGGGTCCTGACCTCTGGGGGTCGACGTTGTGAAAAAAACCACAACGTCGGCGGTCCGGGGATTTTCCTCTCTCCTTTCTCCCTACCTCGTCCCTTTCCCAGACCCCCTCGAGTCATGAAAAAATGCCGCAGCAAGTTGTGTCGCCATTTTCGGCCTCTGGGGGCCCCTATCCTGACAGGTTCCAGCGCGCGCCTGGGCAGCGGGTTAGGAAGGCCAAGACTTGCGCTTGAATGACGGGGGGCCCCACGGAGGTAGAAGGAGCGTTAGCAGAAGGCATATGGAGTGATTGCAAGGTGGTAGCACGTAAGAAGTTGATGGGCACTCTGATGGGCGTGGATGTGGCCCCCGAGGAGAACTGCCGAGGTGCGGAGACGAATTTCTTCGGGCGCGTGGGCTCTCTTGCCCAGCACTATGTGTCCTGGACGGCGCGAGTTCTTTCGATCCACGTGTTCTGCTGCCCCTTCGTTTCGTATGTGTGGCGTCTTCTCTGCGTGCCAGATCGCACGAAATCCAGAGTGGAAGAGAAAGCTCGTCGCTATTGGTTGCGGCGGCCCCCATCAGGCTGGCGATGTTGAGCCACGTGATGCAGTTCTGGTTGGCATCCGCGCGCAGGTGCAAGATGTCGCTTCATGATCGTTGCTGCCTTGCTCTCCACAGCGTTTAGATTACAGCATCTCGACGTCGGCCAGGCGCCGCTGCCTGGATGGTCCCGGACACCCCATGCGCCCAAGGAGGCATTTTCATTGAGCGTTTTCTTTTCTTCCAGGATGCAGTGGGTCGCACCGTCTACTCAGTCGTCGGATTTTCTCTGCGGCGTGCTAGTTAGGGTAACAAGGTATGTGCGCGACTGTTGGAAGCTGACCATGAAGCGGTGGACACGTACATGCGAGCGCGATTTCGACAGCGAGGGTTGGCGGCGGATGCTGTCTTGGCGAATCTCGCTCGGACACTTAGCACGACGCCGCAGCACCACAAATGGATGCTCGTCCAATGGTCACTTAATGTAGTTCCTACCTCGCGCCAGAAGCGGTGAGGAAGCGGCAGCGCCGTTACGGGATGCAGCTTGTGCCTCACAGCAGCTTGTGCCTCACAGCAGCTGAACACAGCATCGAGCATCTCGCGGAGTGTAGTTTCACGAGCGTTGCATACGATACCGTTTGTGTTCGGAGAGGCTTCGTAGACAAATGCCACGCTTCCTTGGGTGTGCCTTTGAATGGCGCCCAGCTGCAGACGATGTAAGCGACTTGAACGCGATCGGACGTGCTTGCAATGTCATTTGGAGGGGACGTGTTTTCAATGATTGGCACGATTTGCGCCGCCACATCGTTGCCCTCATGGAGCACCCGTGGCTCACGGGCATTGAGGACACAGGCGCGCGCGCGGCGACCGCCGAGCAACACGCGCCCGCCGTCCCCCTCCCGACACGGCTGGAGTGGTCTACCGCTCGGACGGTGCTGCCCGCGGTCAGGGCCGCGACGGACGACACGCTTCTTGCAGCTGTAAAACGATGCGGCCACCGGATCTCTTATACTTGCCGCCTGCAACAGCAACGTATCCGAGCACGAGCACCTTCTCAGCTTTCTTCGAGACGCTATTGCACGTCGACTTTGCCAGGCGTGATTCCAACTGGATTTCACGCTAGTGGCGCGGCAGTGTTCCTTGAAGTTGCGGTGCAGGGGTCGAGAAATCCTACCACTGTGGGGACTGGCGGCTGCTTTTCTCAAACGTTTGCGACGGGACGGCGAGACAGCTGAGGTGATTCACATTCTCCATAACATTTTCCGAGAATGCAATGTTTTGCCGATTCGCTTATTATCGCGCTTCTCTTATCCCTGATCCTTCCTCGGCTGGATCGCCTCAAGTTTTTTCGTGTTAGAAACCAGCCAGAAGCAAGAGAAGGATCCGTTCCCCACTAAATTCATACCTTCCAGAATGCGTCGCCGTCGTCGCCCCCGAGAGGAGGCAAGATTTGCCCGCCCTGCCTGGCGGGAGCATGCAGCACTCGCGGAACTTCAAATACCAGATCGTCAGGTTCGATTGGAGCACTGGTGACTCGAAATCACTCTTACACATCTTGGTGTTGTGGCCGCCTGCAGGCGCGCGCCCTCCTGCGCACGTGGCATAGCATTTAAATCATATGATTTCTGGCCGCAGATGGAGGAACAATATGCCGGGCCTCGAGACCGTCAAAAGACTGCTCAGGATGAAGAGCCGGCCCCAGGGAAGGGGTCCAGACCTCTGGGGGTCGACACTGCGGAACAAAAGCACGACGTCGGCGGTCCGGGTCCCTCCTCTCTCCTTCCTCTCTCCCGGTCTGCATGGCGTCTTCATCAGCGCAGCGCGCACCCCCCAGCAACGATGCCCTCTGGTGTCTTGTCGCGGATTTCCGGGTTCCGAGTTCTGAGCTCCTCCCACCCTCGTCCCTCCCAGCCCCCCCACACTCTTCGATTGGGGGGGAATCGACTACAAAATTGATTTACCTCAAATTGATTTTCTCGTTGGATCTACAAAATTATGCATAATGCTCGTAGGTCTACGCGTCTCCCACGAGTATTTGTTCATACTCAACGAGACATGAATTTTGGGGTAAATTCGTTTTGCAGTCGATCCCCTCTACTCGAAGTCTAGAGATCCCCCGTTTGCCGCCCTCCCGAACTGCTCTGGCTGAGGGCCCCGCTCGCTGCCCAGCGGCGACGCCGGCTGCGGCCGCGGCGCCGGGCGCACAGGGGTGCCGAAGCCGCCGGCGACGGCATCCGCCGCGGCGGCGGAGCCGTCGAGCAGGTGCCTCTCGGAGCGGCAGCTCGGGGGGGGAGCCCGCAGGCCAGACTCGGCCTGACCAGAGGATCATCATCATCATCATCATCATCATCATCATCATCATCATCATCATCATCATCATTCTGATTATCATTATCAGTATCATGATCATCATGATCATCATGATCATCATTACCATCAGTATCATCATCATCGTCATCATCATCATCATCATCATCATCATCATCATTATGATTATCATTATCAGTATCATGATCATCATGATCATCATGATCATCATTACCATCATTATCATCATCATCGTCATCATCATCATCATCATCATTATTATTATTATCGTCATCATCATCATCGTCATCGGCTGCCCACCTCGGGAGAGCCGGATCATCATCCTCATCATCATCATCATCATCATCATCATCATCATCGTCATCGTCGATGATGGTCCGAGCTACGCAAGAACCTCTGGTCCTCATCAGTCACAGATCTGCGGCAGTCTCGGAGGAAGAACCTGAAAGGGAATGCAAGATCAGGGCGGGGGCGCCTTCTGGACGACCCACGGACCCGAGGGGGGAGAGGGAGGGAGGGGGCTTGCCGTGCGAGGAGCGCACCGCTCTCCTCCCCGCCCGCCTCCCCTCTCTCACTCCCCTCTTTTTCGCTCTACCCCCGGCCCCGCAGCTGCTGCTTCTCATTTTCGTCCTCTTCCTCCTCCTGGTCCTCGTTCTTCACCTCCTCCTCCTCTTTCTCCTCTTCCTCCTGCTCAGCCTCCAGCTCATCCACTTCTGATTGCGCATAACACGATTGCGTCCTGTGGGGGATCCCAGGTTCGCTATGACACCAGACAGCGGATAGAGAAACAATCAGAGCCGTGGGAAGGGATGGGTGGGAGGGCACCTAGCCTGCCCTCTCCCGATTCCCTACCTCTCCTCCTGTTCCCTCCTCCTGTTCTTCATCGCGCGCGGCCGAGGGCGAGTCGCCGCAAGGCACTGGCGGGCAGACTAGCCCAACGCGGACGATAAGCAATATGTGTAGCCTGACCCGCAACACTGCCGGCTAACTCGGCGGGGCCAAATGGTCCTCACCTCGGCGGGGTTAGTAGGATCACGCGCTGGCTGACCACGACGCGTGCCAAGACAAGAGAAGAGGGACAGAGAGACCTCACTCCCCGAGCATCGCTTGAGCGATCCCCACCCCCACGGGCATGGCCTTCGCACCACTGGCCGATTTACCCTCCATGCGTGTCATTGGGGATATAGGCTGTTTCCTTCGAGTTCCGCGGGGCCTGTGCCCCACTTCGGGGGTGGGCTGGTGCAGCTGCGAGACACCATGGATCAATGGGGGCGGAGATCGATTGAACGATGCAGACCCTCCTGGTCGCATGCCTTTCCAGCCATGCCTGCCAAGCCAGCGCCGGCGCCCCGTACTTCTGCTGCGCCCCGGGGTCCAGGTAGGAAAGCTGCCCAGGCCGCGTACTGCGGAGGGAGGGGAAGGAGATGCAGCAGCAGCTGGAGGAAACAGAGGATGGGGAGGCACGGAGGGAAGAAACAGGAAAGGTCGATGTTTGCTGTTCCCCGCTCGGGACGGAGAGATGAGGAGGAGAAACAGCGACGGCAGCCTGCCGTCGTCGTCTATGGGGGAGCTGGGGCGAGCGCAGGACGAGAATTCACGTCTGACTCTGGGATCTCCGAGTGCCAGCGGCGCGGGGCGAAAAGTGGCACCACAGCGGCATCAGCGATGCAGCTTCTCGAAACGGTTGATGCTGAAGGTGAAACACGCTCGGACCTCGACCCTAAATTCAAGCCTTGGCGGTTTGGGCGGGTTATAGCCTTCCGATCCGTCCGATCATTTTTGTCCATCCTATATCACGTTGGGGTAGACGTCCTAGCGTAACGCATTCTGTTCATGGTACAAACGTATTCTTATTCGCCTTTAGCCAACCAGCGTGGACCAACAACAGTGCGTTTCCAGCAACATCATATGGTGTAGTCTACGTTGTTGGATACATGCTGTGCGCCATACGTGGTGCAATATAACTGGTGCAACCAATTACTGTTCGCAAAAAATGCGACCCCCCGCCCACCGACACGCAACTTTGTTTGCCAAACGCATGCGGCGGCGACTGCGATGACTGCTGGGCGCTGGCTGGCGCATCGCGCGGCCGCACTAGCGCGCGCACGCTCGCAATCACAGCGGCCAGATTGTCTGGCGTGGCCGCGGTAGTGCTGACCGCTGGTGGGGACTTCCCAGCGCTTCACGAAGGTCGTGCTGACGCGCTTGCACTGCAGAGTGAATCGGTGACTCAGGCGGGCGCGGTATTATGGCGACGCCGACAACGGCAGGCGCGGCGATGATGACAGCGATGCTGGTGACGAGGATGACTATGACGGAGGCAAAGCCAATGACGGGGCTTGTGCTGATCACGCCGATGACGGGGCAGCGATACTGGCCAGCCTGCGATGGCATGAGGAATCATGAATGATGGGGCCGGATCGTGTGTAAGTTGTACGATCCTAGGGGGACGCGCTAAAGCGGGGAGGGGGAGAGATCTGAATTCTTTTTGGAAACGAGAAACTACGTGGTGCAATCTAAATATGCGGTGTCAGTCGCCCTGCCAGACTTCAAGTTGTCAACCCCGCTTGTCGCACAATATCCCACCCACCCGCCCGCAAGTTGGCGCCAAACCCGTGCGGCGGTGACTGCGATGACTGCTTGGTGCTGGCTGGCGCATCGCTGCGGCCGCGCTATCGTGCGCAGGCTCGCGCGCACAGCGGCCAGCTTGGCTGGCGCGACCGACGCTGTTACGGTGGCGCTGACCGCTGGGACTTCCCAGCGCGTCTTGCAGGCCAGACTGACGCGCGGGCACTTCAGTGCGATTCTGTGACTCGGGCGGGCGCGGTAGCATGGCGACGCCGCCAACAGCACACACGATGATGACAGCAGCGATGCTGGTTGCGGAGATGACGACGACGACGGCAAGGCCAATGACAGCGCCGGTGCTGATCACGCCGACGAAGATGATGGTGTCCACGTGTTGGTGATGGAGGTCCCGGAAGGATTTCGACATGCGCGCGAAGCCGACGGGCGCAAGTGTAACAGGGGATATGTCGACCCCTATCCCAGGCTTCGTGGGGTTTCCGAATGGACCAGAAATTTGGGGCCTAACCCTGGGATATACGATGGGGGGGTGTCCATTCTCGATAGGGTGCGTCCGAATAGCCCCCTTGGGGTGTATCCCAGGGTTTTCCCATTCTTCTGAGCGGCCAGACTTTTCGGGCGAAACTCGGGGATTGGGGGAGAAACATCGCCCGCGAAAGTGGCCCGCACTGCGTTATTTCACTGGGATCGCGCCCCCCCCCCCCCGCGAGCGCAAAGGCGTTCGAGTGGTTCCGGCATGCGCGCCCGACAGGCCCGCTTGGTCGCGTGTGGTGACGATGTCGAAGCATCTGGTTGTCTCACGATCCCGCAAGCGGGCAAACCTCTTCTGAAAATCCATGTCGCAAAACAAGTGTTGGTTTGTATGTGCTCGCGGACCTCGATCTTGAAATCCTCACGGCAGCTGGAGCTTTCGAAGGATTTCGGCATGCGCCCGCGACGGCGCGCGCGCGTGTGCACGTTGTGTCTGTCTGTTGCAAGGGATTCTTGATCACGGATGATGTTTGATGAACGGGTGTGCTCGTATAACATTCTTTGACGAAGATAAAGGGGGTGGGGTCGATGCTGGCCTGGCTGGGATGGTAACAGCTCATATCTGAAATGGCCGATGGGCCAACTTGCACACCCCCGGGGGTGCCAACAACCGGATAGCCCCGGGAAAGGATCCTGACTCCTTCTTAAAAGAAGAGCATGCGTTGTGCAATTTAGCCGGCGACGGGGCGGCGACGTTGACAACGTAGCCGACAGATCGACAATCAGCCCCAGACGGCGGGCGGCGACGAGGCGGCGACGGGGCGGCGACGGCGACAACGAAGAGGCCTGACGAGCAATCAGACCCAGTCAGTAAGTAGTTCTGACGACCCGCAGAAAATAGTTGCATCGAAGTGTTTGGTCAATAGCAGTGCCAAGCTTGGGACGGGCCGGCAGGTGGGGCAGTGGCGGCAGAGGCAGGATACAAGACGCCATCAGCTACAGCGTGGCACGCGGTAGGCTACGCGGACATCACTAGGAGCAGAAGAGATGAGGAGGAGGGGAGGCGCCCGAAGCACGAGTCCAACGTCATCAGCCACGTGGGTGGTGTCGCGAGTCACGAGCACGACGCCATCTGCTACTGGGGTTGCGCAGAAAAGCACGAGCCCAACATCGTCAGCTACGAGAGTGGCACAACGAAGCGCAAGACCAACACTATCAGCTGCGAGGGTGGTACTTTGAAACACGAGCCCGACGACATCAGCTATGGTGCCAGAAGGGATGACAGACAGTGGCGGCCAAGACACCGGGGCGGCAGCGGCAGGGGCGGCAGTGGCAGCTCAGGCAGTGGCGGCAGTGGCAGCTTAAGGTAGTGGCAGTGTAGGCAGTGGTTGCAGTGGCAGCTCAGGCAGTGGCAGCTCAGTGGCAGGGGCGGCACTGGCAGCTCAAGGCAGTGGCAGCTCAGGCAGTAGCAGTCCAGGCGCAGCCGAAGAAGCGACGCCGCCTCCCAACCACGGCATCCAGGCGGTGCTTGACACGGCGTACAAGATATTCATAGCACGGCGGCGCGAGGTGGCACTCAGGGCACTCCAAAAGATCTACAAAACCGCTCCACACGCCATGCGGCATCCTGGTATCCAGCACCCGCACGCCAGCATCGCTATCTGCCTCAAGGACGGGCAGTGCTACGAGCACCTGGTGGAGGATCAAGGGCATATATACACAGCCGAGGGCCGAGGAGAAGGAGCAGGAGATGCCTGACAGCGACGCACGGGACCAGGAGGACAAGGGCAGGGTGTGGGGGGACAGGTGCACGCTAAACAAACGCAGCGGTACGCCGCAGGCCAGCCGCGGTGCGGGCAGGGAGTGCGAGAAGGGACAGCAGTGGCAGCAAGCGGGGCGAGGCGTGGACGAACCGACGCCATCAGCTACAAACCAAGTCTATGTGGGGAACTTGTCTTACAGCGTCGACTGGCGCGACCTAAAGGACCACACGAAGCAGGCGGGCAGCGTGGAATTCTGCAGAGTGCTCACAGAGGACGGGACCGTCTACGGCAGATCGTTCGGATACGGTCAGGTATGCTTCTCCACAGAAAAGGCGGCTAAGAAAGCCAAACTCACCCTGGACGAGACGGAGCTCAAGAACCGGAGGATTCGGACTCGGACGTGGTCTGGCGCAAAGCAACGTCATCTACCACGTTCTCCACAGAAAAGGCGGCTAAGAAAGCCAAAGTCACCCTGGACGAGACGGAGCTCAAGAACCCGAGGATTCGGGCTCGGACGTGGTCTGGCGCAAAGCAACGTCATCTACCACGTGCGTAGTAGCGTAGTAGAACGGTGGTGGTGTGGTGTCTGGGGCGTGAGAAGAGCTGGAATGGCACAACCTGGGATCTGAAGTAAGTACTGTCCGGCGCGAGCTGGAGGCAGGGACTGCTGCAGCTGATCAGCGCGTGCGAAAACTTCAGGCAGTGCAGCGGGAGGCAGGGAACGGAACGCAGCAGCCTGGCTGGGGGCCTCGAGCGCCTGGGCGCGAGGGGTGCTCATGCGCGCCTCCGCGGCGCCTCCGGAGGGCAGGCGCAGCAAAAGCCTCTGCAGGGAGGGGTGCCGCTCGCTCGCCGCGGGGCCTCGCCACACACTGCGCGCGGCGATGGCCCGTGGCCGCCTCCAGTGGGGCAGCGCGCCGCCTCGGAGCCCGCCGAAACAGCAACCGCCACGTCGGTCCGCCCTGGAGCGTCAGGAGGGGGAGTACGCGAGGGAGGAGGGAGGAGGAACGAGGCGGAGAAGGGAGGAGGGAGGAGGGAGGAGGGAGAGCACGCGAGGGAGGAGGGAGGAGGGAGGAGGGGGAACACGCGAGGGAGGAGGGAGGGAAAGAGGCTGTCGGAGCGGCTGTCACCGCCGCAGACGCCTCCGGCCTCTCCGCACACGCTGCCGCGGGTGCCGCTGCAGCTGCTGCTGCTGCCGCAGGGGGTGCGCCGACTGAGAGGCTCAGGGCGCGCTTGGTTCCTCGAGCCCTCCTCGGTATCTCCGCCTGCCGCTGGCAGATACCCAACCATCGAAGAAGAACAACATTCGCGGGTCCTGGAGGGCAGTGCGATGATCCCGGGGGGCAAGAAGCCCTGCATGTGCGTACCTCGAATGGTCAAGGCGACTGCTCCCACTTCTTTCGATTCTCGGGTGCGGGGATCATGATCTACGGGTCCGCGCAACATGGATCATTCTTGAATGCCGCAAACCGCTGAGCTGGAAAGATCATGTATCAACCAACCACGGCCGGACTGGCTTGCATCCATCTCGCGATCTGCTCACAACCTGCTGGCGACTACGGTGAGTTCGCGTCGCGATGAGGTCGGCGCTGGTTTCTGACACAGCATGGGTCGCTAAACTTTGAACTACCGTGGCTTTGCGACTCGGCCAGACCTAGGACCGAAGAACATCATTCAAGCACATGGGACTCTCCGCTGGCCAAAACACACAGAACATCCCAGGGTATCACCTCCAAGATGCACAAGAGTATCCAACACGCACGAAGAACATTAGGGCATCCTCTCCGAACCGACCTCGATCTTACACCTCGGTCCAACCCTAACTCAGATCATTCGATGTCGGTTAAACGCAGCCAGTGACTGGCTGCGTTCAGCCTAGGATGCCCGCGCCGCCGCCGCGCGATCGCGGCGCGAACCTGCCCGTATAACAGCCAAGGCGACCTGAGACAAAACGCAGCCGCAAGACCCGGGCCCGCTTTCGGACATCAGCTTGAGCGAGCGCCGGCCCAACCTGGCGCGTGCGGCCCCGTGCAGGCGCAGGGGCGTCAAGGACAAACGCTTGGCCAGGCGAGCTGGGGGAGATCTCTCACGGGTCGGCGCAGCTGTGATCCGCAGCCAGCCTGTTGCAGCCATTCTGGCCCTGAAGCTTGCACCAGGAATCGTGGCCCGAGCTGGGAGGGAAATCTGGGTTGACAAATGGCCCACCCTAGCCCCGGCCTTAGCTGCCCCGATACGCAACGGGCAACACGTAGCGTATTGATACGTAGCTCAACGTGTCAACACAGACGTTTTGAACACGGTACGTGTTGCATCTCAAGACGGGCGTATGCGGGCAGCGCAGGCCCTGGCCCCACCCAGGGACTTGGAGGAGAAAGCAGAGAGGAATGCACTGCCCACGGGGCGAGTTCTGGACACAACCTCGGAGCGGGTCCGGCCCCGGCGACGAGGAGCTCCCCAGAGCTGCAGAGGAGGAGAAGCGCGCTCGGAATCCTCGACCCTCGAGGAGGTCGCTCCGCGGTGGCTCCCTGAGCCCCGGGCCCAGCAGCGCAACGCGTGGGTCCTCGCAGTAGGCCCTCTTCTCCTGCCGCACGCCCTGCGCGCCCGGCAGGGGCCAGCGGAGAGAAAGCCCCGAGGCCCGGCCCCGCCGGCGGAGGGGCCTCTTCGGCGCGGGGGAGAGCGAAGCGAAACGCACGCCGGAGTCGTGCGTGCTCCTCTGGGGGGCTCGCCTGTGCTCAGTAGGGCATGGCGTGGAGGCCGTAGCGAAACGGGGTTCGGAAGTTTTCCCCCAGTTCCAGGCCCCCAGGGCCATCCACTGGCCCCCAGGACAGTGACTCGAGACCCACGAGCAGCTTGTCCTGGGGGAAGCCCTTGGGGTCCAGGACCCGTTTCCCTGAGGATCCTGGTTCCCTCATGGTGAGGCATAGCTGCGGAGCGGGCTATTCGTTGTTGCTCTTCATGGGGGCTCTTCCTTCGAAAGGTCAGATCAGGGGCTGGCAATAGTGATCCTGGTCTGAAGTTGCACCCAGTTATTCGCGTCATTTTGAAGCCCCTTGGTCTTCTGGGCCTCGGGAGAGGTGCTATGGAGGCCACTCAGGGCCTTCAAAAAGGCCGGGGCCACGTTCGGCGAGGACCCATCAGGGGGCTTCGGGGATCTTGTGGATGGCTCCGGAACACCGAGGGAACCTGAAATTTGGCGCGACAGATCCTTGAAGTTAGGTCTGGACTTGTTAGCAGTGGACGATATATTCCTCCATGGTGTCCCGAAGTGGTGTTTTTACCGAAGTGGTTGGCAAAGGTCGCGGACCCAGATCCGAAAGGCAGTCTCCACAGTCGGACTGGGATG